AACGTTAGACTTTTACGAGGCTGAAGTCGCTTCTCATTCGCCAGCTTCGTGTTCGTATCTTCCTGTTCCACCTTAAATGGTGCCTGACGTGCCAGAATGTAACTGCTGCACCATTTAAGGTGGAACAGGCAAATTCGAACGAGAAACTGACTTCATCTTCACTGCTTTTTTTCTTGTTGCAGATTAAACGTATCAGGAAACCAGCTGGAGTGATTATAAATGCAAATAAGTCCATTCGTCTCCAAATTATCGATGTTCATCTTAAATCTTTCTCTTTGCCTTTTCGTTTGCTACCAGCTCGGCAAGACTTGTCTGCGTTGCTATGGTGACCAGCAGTCTGCGCGCCAGTCTTCAGGGTTAAAGGGTGAATTAGCAGTTATAGGCTACATTAACTCCAGCGTTTAAGACCATTTATTGTTAAACTGTGTTGAACGATCAGCAGAGCTTTATTTCACTGTAAAGGAGGATTATTTTATTATTACCTGTTGATCTAATTCTGCTGTGGAGCCGCAACAGGGCAGTAAAAGAGCCACACGTTGCCGAGCCCTGCTCTAACCAATAACTGAATGTTTTGCTCTGTTCTGACCAATCGCAAAAGTTTCTGTGTTGATTTGATGAATCAAGACATTCACATAATCCAACAAACAAACAAACAAAGAAACAAAAAATGCATGCCAGTCTGTAACTACATCACATCAGGGGTCTGCCAGTGTATTTGTAATGTATTGTGAAGGAATATGTAAACGTACAATCACAATATATTCTCAATATGGTGTTTTGCTCATACTGTAGAGCCCTAGCGTGTGCGCGAGAGAGAGAATAATACACCTCTGAGTCCTCCCAAACAGGTGGCCTTTGCTCTGCTGCCTCTCTCTCGAGGGATCTCGAGTCATTCTTCGATCTGCTTATCATAAAACACATCTATTGCATTTATTCTTTCAAACTGACAAGCACACAAAGCCCTGTGCGTCCTGTCCTTGTGTGTCATCACAGGGTGTGTACAGAAGAAATTGTCAGTTTGATGACCCTGGTTAAGCAGAGATTAAACAGAGTGTAACTGATGTTTACTGGAAGGTAGAGCTGAATGATAATTCAAGTTGTTCCAACCTTGCTGTATGCTTGGGTGAGTGACATCGTATGATTGCTGATGTCTCCTGATAATGACACTCATTATTGTCACTCCACAGTTCATTAGGTATCGCTCCACCTCGCCCGCCTGTAATGTAGCGATGACAAGCAGCCATTGAAAATGAACGGCCGCGACTTTATTACAAAACCCAAATCAACAAGGCTGTTTACACCAGATTACAATGGCAGGGTTTTTGACAGATGACACACTATTTCTATAGTTGACAGTTTTTGTGGAAAATAAAAAAAAAAATATTTATAATAAGTCATTAGGAACCATTTCAGATTTACAAACAAATAAAGCTTAAAAACTAAAGCTTTCTAAAACTAAAATAAGGTCCAGTCCCATTTCACCCCTTGCCTCTAATGTTCTGCTCTACCCCTCCGTTTGTGTGTTCACATCATTGCGTGCAGGGTGTCCCGATTTCTGTTGAGATAGAGGGGTAGGGTGAAGTGTTGTGGCTACATGGCCCTCCAAATGGAGGTTTTTCAGAGACGCACTCCAAACAGAGTGTTATGAATAAAAATAAATAAATAAAAAAAAATAAAACCAGGAAGATGGCTGAACAAACGACCAAAGAAACCCACAAATGTGAGATTTATTCTCTGTTAAAAAATTATGAAAAAACAATTATATTATCTTAGTTTAATGTTGTTTCATTGTATTATGGTCATAAAAAATCATCACTAGTAGTGCTGATGTCTCGGTAGCTAGCTAGCTAAATTTCCCTTCCACCTTAAATGATGCAGCTGGTACATTCTGGCACCTCAGGAATCAGAACTGCTGCACCATTTAAGGTGGAACTGGAAAATTCTAACAAGAAGATGGTGAATACCTGACTTCAGCTTCATATCACCGAAGAATTACGGGTGGGCGATAATAAATAATTAATGCACCCCCCCACCCTATTTGAAGGCATACACTGCTAGACATAAAGGTTCTGTGTAGATACATTTTTCATTCATCCAATAATGTAAATGTTCCCTCAAAGGTACAACAGTGGTTTTAAGGTCTGATTGTAAACCTTAAATAAGTTTTTCCAGGTGAAAAGTTCGTATTTGTACCTTTTCGTAACCGAATGTTTTAAAACAGAACAGTAAAATAAAAGCCTGGAGACGAGACGGGGTGTGTGGAGTCAGTACAGCTTAGAACATATCATTTCAGTGGATTATGGTTCAGTTATGTTCCCTGACTGAAGGTACTGAAATGTACCACTGAGGGTCCCACCCCAGTGACAAGAGGGGTCCTGCCCCAATGACAGTTTCGTACCTTTTTTCTGAGAGTGTATGATTCCCTAAATGTAACTAAAGCCCAGCAGTGAGGAGCTGAACTTTACCCTCCTCTGCTGTCACTGCAGACTGGCAGGGTCGCCTACAGAGCAGCACTAGTAGCTGTTAATGAAGTAATGCTCTTTTTATATGAGGGTCCCATTTCATAGAGGTAGATTTCAACCACTACCCCTTTTAACTCCGTTCCAAGGAGCAAGGTGACACTCGAAAACAAGGGGTAGAGGTAAAAATAAGAAATGGGATTGGGCCTAAATCTATCATGAAAGGTACAGCCAGCCAGTGGAGTTCTTTTAAAACAGGACTGATAAAAACAGGAGTTCTTTGTTTCTGTTAGGATCTGTGCTGCGAGTTGTAGAGGAGGTGTTGTTTTCTTTAAAAACCTGCTAAAAAGCCTTCTTTACATTATACATTACATTACAGCCTTCTTTGATATCAGTGCTGCATAGGCAGGTGTGACAGTAATGACTGAAGAAGCATAAGTGGGTTTAGACGGTGAGATGTGTTACTAGTTCAGTTTTACTCTCATGCAATCTCAGAAATATGAAACTGTCACTGGGGCAGTCCCCCTCTTGTCACTGGGGTGGAACCCTCAAGGGTACATCTCAGTACCTTTAGTCAGGGAATATAAGGTAATTTATATTATTTAATTTAATTGGGCTTTAGTTACATTTAGGGCATCATACACTCTCAGAAAAAAAGTAGTAAACTCACTGGTGCAGGACCCCTCTTGTCACTGGGGTGGGACCCTCAAAGGTTCATCTCAGTACCTTTAGTCAGGGAACATAACTGAACCATAATCCACTGAAATGATATGTTCTAAGCTGTACTGACTCCACACACCCCGTCTCGTCTCCAGGCTTTTATTTTACTGTTCTGTTTTAAAACATTCGGTTACGAAAAGATGCAAATACGAACTTTTCACCTGGAAAAACTTATTTAAGGTTCACGATCAGACCTTAAACCCACTGTTGTACCTTTGAGGGAACATTTACATTGTTTGTACCTTGATGAATGAAAAATGTACCTGCACAGAACCTTTATTTCTAACAGTGTGGCTTGTACTTTGTTCAGGTCATAAGAAGGCTGTTTGAATGTTCGAGTCATGAGGCTTATCTATCGAAGGTGATCCTTGTGGCCTGTTTGTTTTCTCTCTGCGTTTGTAGTCTGTTGTGCTCTCGGGTTTCCTACGCGGCTGTAAAAGCAGCAGCGCTTCTTATGCGAGCGGCGGTTGACCGCAGTTTGATCGAGGCTTACCACACGACCTCTCTGAGGCTGGCCTAAAGCAGGAACCGAAAACTTCTCGCAGAAAACTTGTAAGATGAAAGTTTAGGGTTCAGTGGTGGTGGCAGCAGATTTGACAGCATCTGTCTTGATTCTGATTTCAGAGCAGTTTGTGTTGGCTGAAAGCCTAGCTGGTCATTTTTGAGATGCGTCAAGCTTTGTCTCAGTTAAAGCAGTTGGGCCATCAGCTGGCAGACTGTTCATGTTTGAGCTTGGAGATTTGCTTCTCTTTTGTTATTGTGATTGAGACGGTTAATGTTAGTGTCTTTACCAGATCCTACCGTAAATGAGCGCACTCAGTCAGTTTCATTCCCATGCCTTTTTTTGCCGACCATCTCGAATCACTGGGCTGAACACTGTGTACCTTTGGGGTCACTTGATTACGTATACTGAGCGCCACCTACGGGTTTAGGAGACACACCATTTACTTGGAAATCTGTACTGTATTTATACTTATTTTCTTTGCAAAATAATGTGGTTCTTTTTAAATGCTTTAAAAATTCAAATATATTTGAATATTTGGCAAACAAACAAGGATAAAATTCCTATTTTATATCTGATCCCATCCAACAACCCAAATAAATATAGGCTGGAAAGAATCCTTTAGCTGACTTTTTCTACTTTTTTAATTTGTGTTTTTTTTTTATTTTTTATTATTATTATTTTTAAATCATTTTTTAGATTTTTTTTAAGTTTTGTAGTGGTATTAAAACTTGATTGCATAAACAACAGATCTGTTTGTGACAAAATTAGTCAGGTTTTTTGTTAGCGTCAGTTTTTTTATTTTTAGGTTAAGATGTTTTTATTTTCTGACCTTTTATTGATAAAAAAAAATCTTGATTCTTCAGAATGGCTAATATTGATCATTCACAGTAGCTTCCATGAAGAACTCTCAGAATAAAGCAACGGACAGTATCAGTAATCCAGTGTCAAATTTCCATAAACTTTAAAAAAAATGATATTTGATATTTGAAATTGTTCCATCCTTTAATCTCAGTTACTGACTCCAATTCACCAATAAATGCCGGATGGTTTTGTTCTGAAACTGTCATGCTAATAACCTCTGTTTCTGATTGTACCCTGGGGGTGCAGTGTTGATCTGCTCAACACAGATCTAATGTGATGTAGTCTGTGGTCAGTACTGTTACAGTGTCCGTTGCAGGCAGTCGACTGGGTTTTGGCTGTTGTTCTTTGGCTGTGTTGTTTTATGTGTTTCCACGTTTATGAAGCTGTGAGCTCAGACGCTGCTGTATGATCAATATCGTTAGATTGACGTAGTTTCTCTGGTGCTTGTCCTGCAGGCCCAGGATAAGAGGAAAGCCCTGGAGGAGACCAAAGCCTACACCACCCAGTCTCTGGCCAGTGTGGCCTACCAGATCAATGCCTTAGCCAACAACGTGCTGCAGCTGCTGGACATCCAGGCATCGCAGCTGCGCAGGATGGAGTCGTCCATTAACCATATATCACAGGTCAGAGTCACACAGTAGATACAGTAGCTCTCTCTCTCTCTCTCTCTCTCTATCTCATTCTCTCACTCTATCTCTCTCTCGCTCTTGCTTGAGCTCTCTCGCTCGCTCTTGCTTGCTTTTGCTATCTCTCTGTATCAGTCTTCCTTCATTCTCTCTCGTTCTTTCTCTCCTTTACTTTTCTCTCATTCTTTCTCCCTTTCTCGCTGTCTGGTGCACCCACCTTTCTTTCTTTCTTTCTTTCTTTCCTTCTTTCCTTCCTTCCTTCCTTCCTTTCTTCCTTTAGTTTTTCTTTCTTACTTTCTTTCTTGTTTTCTTTATATCATAGTCATTCTTTCTCTCATGCACAAACTGCTTCACACTTTTCTTTTTCTGTCACTGCTTTTCTCTTTCTTTTTTCCTTTCTCTTTTCTTCCTTTCTTTCCTTTTGTCTTTTACTTTATTTCCTTTTTGTTTTTCGTTCTTTTGGATTTTTTTCTCTTTACTTTTTTATTTTGTCTTTATATCAGTCTTTCTTTCTCTCTTGCTCAAACTGCTTCACACTTTTCTTGTTCTCTCTGCTTTTCTTTTTCTTTCCATTTTTCTTTCACTTTTACTTTCTTTCTTTCTTTCTTTCTTTCTCTTTCTTTTGTTCTTTCTTTTTCTCTTTCTTTCTCTCTTTCTTTCTTTCTGTCTTTCTTTCCATCTCTGATTCCCTGCCTCTGCTTTTCATACATTCTCTCTGTCCTCCTCCTCCCCTTTTTTTATCATCCTGTATGCGTGATAAGATTTTTTTTGCTTCAGTTTTTAATGTGCCTCAGTGTTTTAGTCTTTGACGGACATGCAAAGGTGTTGTGTCTGCTTCAGTGATGTCCAGGCGGGATACAACTTCTATTGTCTAAGTCTTTTTTATTCTTAAAGGAAATAATGTTTTTCCCTCTCATGGATCAGAAGTGTAGTCTGATTCTTTGACTTCTATAGCAGTTTGTCTGGACCTGAGCAAAGTCAGAGATAATGCTTTGTGTTTTCTCTGCTCCAATTCTGCTCCAATAAGTTTATAAATAGTTATGCTGGATGTATTAAAGCAGGAAAACATTAACCTGTGTGGTTCTGTTGGTTTCCAGGACTGGAATTTGATTTTTTTTTCTTTCTTTTTCACAAACGCCTGCACTCAGGTATTCACCCAGTGCTGTGAGAAGGCTTATCGGACTGCAGTACATACAAAGAAAGAATCGCATACATTGTGTCTCGCAGACAAACAAATCATTTTGGCTTGTTTTTCTCTCATTGTGATAGAATGGGTAATGGCAGAGTGATATAAGGGCTTTGTCCTCATTCATGAGCCGTCTGAGGGAGAGAGGCTCAGCTCACTTTGTGAATGAATGTAACACAGAGGCTCGTTTAGAGGGTCAACAGAGAGGAATTCTCTTTTTTTATGACTTTGTCCCCCTCTCTCTCTCCCCCTCACTCAAATAGCGTCTGTGTCTGTGGTATCCATAGCGATTGAAGCTAAAGATAGCTATGGCAATAACAGGGACCCCTCATGACAGAAGTGACTCAGAAGCTGGACTGTAGTCTTCACTGCGTGCGTTTGGATGTCTTTGCTGTGCAGGAAGTTTGCTCCTGGTTTTGGAAGTGCAGTTGAAAACTGGACCACACGAAATGGTCACAGTTGCCCAATTTGACTTGCATGTATGCGGACTTAAAGGGGAATTCCACTCATTTTTTAAAGTATCTGTGTAAGTAAATGTGGGCAGTCATGGGCTGGAGGTTAGGGAACCAGCCCTGTGACCGGAAGGTCGCTGGTTCGATACCCTGAGCCGACAGTACGTGACTGAAGTGCCCTTGATCAAGGCACCTAACCTCCAACTGCTCCCCGGGTGCTTTGGATAGGGCTGCCCACCGCTCCGGATGAGTGTGCTCACTGCCCCCCTAGTGTGTGTGTTCACTAGTGTGTATGTGGTGTTTCAGTGCATGGATGGGTTAAATGCGGAGGTGAAATTTCCCTGTTGTGGGACTAATAAGGGTCACTTAATCAGTTAAGATGTAAACAAAGTCATTCACAGTGGTTTGGTGTGAAATGCTTCCTTCTAGAGAAACATACAGAATCAGAACACAGTGGTGGTGATAGGAACCAGACGTCTGAAGCCGTGCCTCTAAAAGTTCCCTCACAGAAAGTTCCTACATAAAATGATGACAAATACACAACGCGATGCCTGAGACTATATTTTTGAAATGAGGTTTTGTTAAAATATGTTTTTTTTTCTTTTTTAAAATGTGTTCATGGCAAATGGGCACATGCAGGTCAAATAGTCCACTCTGCCAAGAAAACTTTTTTTTTCCCCCAGATTTGCAACTTTTTCCCATCATCAACATTACAAATAAAAACTCAGATGCATATAGGTTCACTGGTGGTTTTGGATAGTAAATAAATTGGCTATATTGGTGTTGTGACGCCTGGTTCCTATCACCACCACTGTAAAGTAGTTTTAGCTGGTATATTTCTCTACGGTGAACCATTTCACATCAAACCACTCTAAATGACTCTGTTTGACTTGTAGAATTACCCTAAAATCATCAGGAAGTGGATATGACATAAATGAAAGGTGAGGAGTTCCAAAAAATAATAAATAAAACGTTTCAGACAAAGCGAAGACCTTCCAGTGTAAGTAACACATAATTCATGTGCAGATGTGCAGATTTTGGCGTCAGTGTCAACCATGGAAGTTCCCTCTCATTAGACTGTTAATATGCTTTAAACCATTTGGTCGTGCAGGTTAGACGTGATAACGTTGAGCAGTTCACTGAACAGCAGAGAACGAACTGTCATATTCAAAAGTTATTCAAAGAGTCAAATTATATGTTTAGTTAATTTTCTAAGTGACAATAAGTTGAACTTGAATGTGGCATTTTTCTGCAAATTTTAGTGCAAATATTGTTTAACATATTGGGAAAAATCCTTTTGCACAGGTTAGATTTAATGTTCTATTGTTTTCAATATGTTAATTTATTTTTAATCAAAGTCTGAAAAATTATCTTTTGCCTTGCTATTTTGCCTCACAACACCCTGCATATACCCCTCCGCCATAAATATATTTAAAATAAATAATACCTAATATATCAGGCAGCGTATTCATAACCATTTCATGTAATAACTTTCTATGAGGGAGCTTTTAGAGGTGGACGTCTGGTTCCTATCATCATCACTGTGAACAATTCTGACTCTAAATTTCACACCAAGCCACTCTGAATGACTTTGTTTACATCTTAACCCCTTAATTGTGCATTTTTTTGAATGAGCTCCACTTTAAAGCAAGTGAATGTCAGCAAAACGAGCTGAGGTGTGAGAACATTCTCAAACACCGTCTGGTATTTGTTTGTGTATGTTTTCATGGTATTTACTTGTCTTTATTTGGCTGTGCAGAAATGATCATTCACATACTCATTAAAGTGCTCCCCACTGTTTCATTACTGATAAATATTTAGAATTGCTGGTTTAGTCTCTCTTCCTGTGATCCAGTTATTGACCATTTAGCCTCCGCTTAACCTCGTCCAGCCCACGAGAAATAAAGAGGTCTAATTTTCCAGTGAATTGCACAGACATGTGCAGAGTGAATTCCCCTCCGGCGGAAAGATTTAGTTCAGCCTTTTGTGAACGTCCCACTTTTTTTTTCTGATGTAAGTGACGGATTAACCCACTGACTCAGGAGCGCTGAGGGCATGTGATTCTGCAGCTCTGTCTGAGTCAGCGGGCTGCCCACACCGCCACTGACCACATGGCCAGAGGAAACAGATCACACACCGGCAGCCGAACTGTTCTGCTTCTCTGGAAGGAGCCTAATAAATTCTCAGCAGCAGCGGCAGCACTCAGCGTGTTCACTGTACGAACCAGTCTTAGATCTAGGCCCCGGATTTATTCTAGTCCAACATTTTTAATTCGTCTTTTATTTATTTTGCTTTTCACTTGGGATTTCAGTTGGGTTTAAGTTGGTTTTAAGGGGATATCCCACCTGTTTTTCCAAATTTCTTCATAATTAATGGGTTCGGATGCAAACAAAGTCATTTACAGTGGGTTGACATGAAATGCTCTGTTCTAGAGAAACTCACAGAGAGGAATTGTTCACAACACTGGTGATGGGAACCAGATGTCCAACACTTTTAGTGCTTTTAATAGCTAAATCAAAGGAAGCTATTACCTTAAGTGTTTACAAATGCATTGCCTGAAGTCTGACACACATTTTTTTAAATGTGCACATGGACACGTAGGACGTTAATAGTCCCTAAAGCCAACATAGTCCCCGAAGAAAATACATTTCAAACAAAATAAATTACGTTTAGAAACTCAGAAGACCTGTAGATTCACTGGTCATTTTGCAAAGCAAAAAAAATGCTACACTTGCATTGTGGCTATATTAGATATCATGACCCCTGGTTTCTATCACCACCTAAAGAAATCTGAGCTAGTTTCTCTAAAGAGCTCCATTTCACATAAAACCACTGTGCAGAGAAGATCGACTTATACAGAAATGTTGAAAAAATGCCCCTTTTAAGAGTTTTAAGTTTTAAGTTTTTTAGTTTTACTTTGTTTTGTTTACTTTCGGTTTTAGTTTATAGTATCATGCTGAAAGCTGTGCTGGTCACTATTTGTTAAGGAGAAGTTGTTTAAAATGCAAGTCAAGGTTTGCTGAGTTTGTTTTCCATGTAGGGAACTCGTTCCCTGTTAGCGTTACTTTTAGCATTCTCTTTAACTATCACTGCCGACTGAGCGGTTTCCTTTTCTTAAGAAACCGACCTCAAAGTAATCCGAAACTAAAAGGTCAATTCGTTCAGTGTTGCTGTTTTAACGCTATACCAGCCCATATGAAAGCAAACATATATTCCAAATGTATTTATCAAATAAATGTTTGCAATGTTTGAAAATGGCCACAAAACATATTTGTGAAATATATTTTTACAATGCATTCATTTGGATTTATTATATATTTTTTTTCAATTGAATGTAGTTTTAACAAAGGTTATAGATA